TAAAATACCTAATTTAAATATATTTTAGCAATAATTAACTATAACTATTGTGTTTTGACATTCACGCAGTTGATTTTTGTTTTTCTAGTGCAATTATAATTTAGTATGTTTTTAATTTTATAAGTCAGTATGTCCGAGTGGTTAAGGAGATAGACTTGAAATCTATTGGGCTCTGCCCGCGCAGGTTCAAGTCCTGCTGCTGACGTAGCCGTTGTAGTATAGTGGCAGTACAATACGTTGTGGCCGTGTTGACCCTGGTTCGATTCCAGGCAACGGCATTTTATAGATATGTATTTTTTTAATAAATCATCTACAAAAAAAAAACTGAGTGCGCTCACATTCTTGAACTTGGATATCAGTAAATGCAGACTGCTGCTATCACTAATGCACTTTTCATACGGCGCTTTGCATTGCTTTATTTTTGTACCCAAACACTGACATTTTAATACTCTTTGCTCAAACGGATTCTTATTTGCACCAGAATCCGTAAGATATTGCTACAGAGACTGAGTTAACGTACAGCACAGCTAACCGTGCCCGCTCAGTATTCAGAATTATTTTCATAAAGATTAATAAATGTAATACGTCTACCTCCTTCAATCTTAAAACATTTTTCAAATACAGTTTTGATATTTTTTCTCCAGAGTCTAGAGATTCACACTTAAACTGATTTTGTTAAATTTACTACCAGTAGATTTGTAATAAACTATACATTGTCTTTTTAAAATTTACTTTTACTGTAGCATAATATTTTTCCTGATCGCAAAAAAGTACAATCTTAATTTAAATAGTTAGTAAATCGAATATTACCACATCATTGTGTTTTAACAAATTTACGTTTAGCGTTTTTGAAATCTTTATATCCTGTTTCTGTACATACACACCTAAATCCCTCAACAAAAAATAGATTTTTAGTTGTGCCTGCTTTTGCAAAACATATTTATGCAAAATTTTTTCTAACATTATTACAATATACATTGTCATATTCTAAACATGTACACTTTTAATTTTTATTGAAAATAACATTTCCATCTCCTTTAACTTTAATAAATGGATCCAACTTATTTTCTATTAGTAGTTTCCCATTTAACAAACACTCGTGCTTATATTCATCAATAAAAAATGGGTTCTCTGTAAAAATATATGATTTCAAACACTGATTCAGTTTGATCCTAGAAAAGGCTCCGCAATCTAATTGACCGTTTAATAAACAGGCACATTTTTGCCCATTTTTAGTAAATACTATATTTTTGCTACACTCAGTTCTGATATATATCTCATAATCAGTTTTACAAAAAAATTTCCCCTGATATAGTACATTTGCACATACCTTCTAATAAAAATAAATTTTTTTTTACTCGTATATTAGTAAAGCATCTTTGTAGCAAATTTTTATTAATGTTTTCACAGTTTACATATCCACTACTCATACATACAAATTTTTAACTTTGATCGTTTGAAAATGTAACATACCCCCTACCATCAACGCGAACAATTCTCTCATACAGATCATCTTCTTTTATTTCTCCACTTTCTAAGCACTCTTTTTTAACACCGTTAACAATAAAAGGATCTTATGTAGCACCTGCATTTAATAAAAATACTTGTAAAAGCTCATAACTAATAATATTACATAAAACTTACCAGATAGTGAACATCGCATTAATGATTTTTATCTCTAATAGATACACCACAATATTTATTATTTAAGCAAATCAGTTATTATATTGGCTTTTAAAAGCTTTCAAACTATTTTCTAAACATCTATACAAATGCTAATCAGATATATGTGGGGGTTGTTTAGCGTTTGCATTTATAAATACTGCTCTAATGTTTTTTTGGTAAAATAACACAATCTAGTTTCCCCGATTACATATCTTTGAATTTTTGACCAGATTAATAAGTATAAATAGTGTTTCCTTTACCATAAACACGGGCAAATTTTTTAAACGATTTTCACATTTTTAAACACCAGTATCAAGGTACTGGAATTGAAATAAATTTTATTTGAATGGGTTATCGGCAGCTTTAGCGCCTGAAAACCAATTTCTTTTAGATATATAATATATATTTCATATTTCATATAACCTGTACTAACTGATCACAATCCCACTGTTGATTTTTGGTATTAGTAAATGTGGTTTTCGATTTCCCTAATTACAAACGCAAAAGCCATATTTAGTATTGCACATTTAGAGCAATACGCTGTGCAGACCAATTTTATGTCATCAGGGGGTTGAAAGTAGCTATTTATAGCAATATTTTCCCTGAAACATTTTTTTCAAGCCAGTTTAATTTGCTTTAGGCAAAATATTATTTTGATTAGGGGATGTAGCGTAACATCGAGCAAAAGAATTTGCAAAAGTTGCAATGCTTGTTAACGCATAAATGTATTTTTTCCGCGCATTATAATTTGCAGTTAAAATGTCATTAAATCAATCATATTGATGTTAGGAAAGTTTGAGATTATATTTTATGAAGAACGGCAGATGTATCTTTTTTTTTATATATTAAAAATAATATACAAAAATGGTAGTTTTATATAAATTGCGCCTAAATGGCTAATGGGAAGAGTACAAAAACAACCAACTTAACATCTGCTGCTATTGATTTGATTTTATATAAGAATAACCATGATTGCTAAAAAATATAAAAATATAAAAATATAAACTATTAATAATATAAAAACATAGAATGATTCTTTTTGAAATTTAAAGCAATGATTTAATGAAGATATTTAATAAAATATTTAAAATTATAAAGCCACTGGTAATGACAATGGCAGTCTTAAAAAATTTTTTTTATTTTTATTTAGTGTATATTAAATTAATTACAAATGTACAATTTATAAGTTTTTGGATCATTTCTGCGTAGGCGTCTTGCATTGTTTTAGGATTTATTAATTAATAATAATTTTTCTATGTTTTTAGCAACAGTAAGTTATTTGATATTTAATTTTAGATTTATAAGGATATATAGGCAAATTAATTATTTTTTTAGGGCTTAGAGCAAAATTTTTGGTAAAATGGGTATAATGACATTTCCTCAAGATTAAAAAATGGTTTTGGTAAATAAAAAATCCTAGCAATTTAAAATCTAAACGATATGCACATTCTTCTATAATAATAAATATTTACAGTTATAATATGTTTAAAAGTACAAATAAATTCATATTTGGCCTGTAGCGCAATATGGGCTTAGTTGGAGGGTTTATCGTTCAAAAACATACACTACTGTATCAGAGCCAACTTTGTAAGATTATAAATGAGCTTTTGTTGCGTAAAAAGATACTAAATATTATCATTCTAGACAAATACGCTTATTGGTACTTAAATATGGTGAAGCGATCGGTGTTAGTTAAGAGCTATTTTGATTACGAGGTTTAATATTTTATGGCATGTTTAAAAAATCAATTGTTTGAGAGCTAAAGTGTTTTAATATATATTATTTGTTGATAGTAGTTTATCCAGCTAATAAATTATATATCTAAGGAAAGAAGTGTGTTGTGATAGAGACATTAAATTATCTAATGGCCAAATAATTTTTCACAACTAATGCCTAGGGTAGGACAAAAACGTCTTCTCAGGATCGATTAGGAACACGCTTAATCCGCCGTAAACTACTGGTACTCATCTTTTGGGTTTGGATTGTTTGAAGAGTTAATCATTTCTCCCTTCAATGTATTCAAGACTAAAAGTTTCGATGTATAGAAGTCTTATCACTAAAAAAATGATTTAGCCTTTTTGGTATTTTTAATAGAGTTTTTAATTGAGTTACTTGATAAATCTTTGTGAAAAAAAAAAGTAGGCTAAATATTTGTGCCGTGCTTCTATAGGCATTGGCATATTTTGATTTATGTTTTTTATGAAGAAGTTTATTGCATGATTCGTCTAGTCTTGATTTACCAATTGAAGTGGCTTGTACCAAAACTATAAAAATATTGCTTAAAAATAGGCTGAAAATAAAAAATAGCACTATTGGGGTTATTATTTTTGTATGCCCAATTTATTAATAAAGAACGCAACTACAAAACCTTAGAGCTATATTTTAAACAGTCTTCTAAAAGAATATTTGTTTAGAGTTAGCTTTATTTCAGAAAGGGTAGGCCCTGTTGTGCTACCATTAATGAATAGATTGTACGTCATGTATTTGCCGATTAATATTACCAAAGTTAAACGATTTTTTGTTTACGCAGTTTAATATTAAATGGCACATTCAAAGTATTAATTATTTAGAGATAAAGTGTTTTAATAGATATAATTTGTTGATAGTAGTTTATTCAGCTAATAAATTATATACGAAGAAAAAAAGTGTATTGTGATAGAGACATTAAATTGTCTAATGACTAAATAATTTTAAGTTTATATAGAAGCTCACAGAGTCAAAGAAAAACATTCAGGACAAAAACCTTCTATCAGGGCCAATTAGGTAGCACGTTTAATCCGTCGTAAGCTACTGGTGCTTGAGTTTATGAGCGATTTTGGTTGCTCTTCGGAGGAATCGTTTATGCATTCAGATATCTGTGCTAACACACTTTTATATTGTATTGTAATATTAATTTACACAGAACAAAACTATCCCACTTTAATAATAATATAAAAAAGCTTTTCTACAAATTTAATATTTTTTGTATGATATTTGCTTTTGCCTTTCCGTAACATATATAAAAGACACCAGGAATATATTTGTAACCCTTATTCATATCTATCTGGCGTTCTATCCTACTTGAAATTACCTTTATTGCATCATTTTAACCCTTAATATATAAATATACCCAACACTACCAACTACACATCAACTATTAGCGCATATATTTTGGATGTTATTTATTTTATAAATTTAACTCATTTTTGTCTTTTAATTTATATTTAAATGTCTGCCCAAACTTTTTTCAAAATCAATTCTCACCCCAATGAACCGTTCCCAACCATCGAGCCTGCAAAACATATTCCTGTTCGTTTGTTTGGCATGCTAGGATTTAGATACAGGTACAGATTATATTTTGCTGAGTTTTTTGGAACTATGTTACTTATGCTTTTTGGTAATGGAGCTGTTGCAACTACCAAATTTAACCCTGCATTTGCCGAGTTTGCATTTTTTCTCAATGTTATCGGTTGGGGTGCTGGTATTTCCATGGCTCTCTACTGCTGTATCGGAAATTCTGGCGGTCACTTGAATCCCGCTGTAACCATTTCCTACGCTGTGTTTGGAAGATTCCCATGGTCTAGAGTCCCTGGCTTTATTGCTGCTCAGATCCTTGGTGCTTTTACTGGTGCTG